TCAACACTTGCGAGTTATCTATGGTCCTGGTTATTTGCTACTGTTGAGTTTCTGTTCCGTTTCCTCTACGACTTCAGCTATTGAAACCTCAATTTGTGTCAGTTCCACAGACTTGCCCCTAGACAGGAGTAGATCCAATGAGGGAAACTTCCTAACATTTTCAACAGTGAAGAAGGGTGCAAATAATGCATTAGTTTCTCTGCAATGGCCCTGTCATCCTTTAGCACTCCTGATCATGCAAAGGTCCAACTGACCCCCTGACAGGTCTTTGGCTTCTAATGTACTTAAATAATTTGTTATTATTACCTTTTATGTCTAGCAAATTTCTCCTCAAATTAGCTTGTATTTTTATGGTTTTACATTTGATCTGCTAAATACTGCCATCTAGGCACTGGCTTTAATTTGTTTGTTTGTCTACACTCTCCAGTATTCAACCAAGTGGGTGATACCCTATTGTAATATTTCTATAAAAGAAGCTAATTCTGTAATAGAATAGAGAAAGGTATCTCTGTAAGAAGCACACTTGTTTCAGCTAAACTAAGGAAGCTAGAGAGGAAGACTTAACTGTGACCTTGATACCTTCTGATGAAGGACTCTAAGACCTAACAGTAGACTTGCTTGAAAAAATTCTGATAGAGCACTTTGCAGTCTGGCAATACTGATTCAGTGAAATGAAATGAGCAGTCTGGCAATACTGATTCAGTGAAATGAGCTAAAAAGAAAAACATGTCACAGGAATGTACTGATTTTCTTGCAACTTTCGATAAAAAATTATTCAAGTTTGTTTTGGTTTGGTTTGGTTTTGAGGTTTTTTTTTGTTTTTTTGATAATCACAAAGCTGTCAGTTTAATAAGACCAAAGTCTGCATGCTTGAAAGACATAAAATACAAGTCAAAACAAAATGCTTCATTTGTAAGTGTTCATTACCTCCTAAGTGATCTGTTTTGTGAGAAACACAAATACTTTTTCTTCCTATTCAGGATGAAAGGAAATTTTACAATGCTGCCATCTTCTCTGGAATGAAAATTCAACATTCACAGCTGTACTTGAGAGGCTAGTCTACCAAAGAAAAATAAGCAAGCATCTCTCAGAAATACAGAGGTAGCAATTTAATTATTTGGAACTAATTTTAAATGTATCTAATGAAGTAATTTTAAGATGGTAGATGTTCCCATGCTTCAGTTAGGAAGAAATACCTGCCTTCTTCAGAGAAAAGGAATGATTTATCAAGTACTGAGGATAATCAGCATATTTACATATTCACTTTTATGTTTAACTGCCAATTTCTGTTGCCTAATTAAAGTAGTTTATTTTACTGTTATCTTTAGCTAATTGGTACTTTATACTGGGGAGTGAATAGGGAGCAGGTTTAATGGGAAAGTACTTGTTTGTTCTTTGTAGCGGGAATAGAAAGATAACTGGTACAGAATTGCCCTGATAATGAATTCCTACATGTTTCATGATATTACCTAATACCTCATGGAGCCCAGATGACCCAACTCAAACAGCCACACTAATCAGATGACACATTAGCCAATTTTAAAGATAATATGGTAAGCGCCACTCTTTCTGCTTATTTTATAGAAGATTTACACTGAAACCAGCAACACAATTCCTTTAATACACTGGTCTCTAATAAAAGACCATATGGACATTTTTTTCAAGACACATATAGCCTCTGCTTCGCTTAATGTCTTTGGTGCCAGAACCTATGATTGGCTAAAACCCAGCATATGCTTTTTATGCTAGTGTTTCATTTTTCTAGGTGTACTTCCTTGTTTCTCAAGGAGGCCATCTATGCTGTAAGGTTGTTTATTTTGTTTGTTTGCAGGTATCCTTTCCCAGTATCAAAACAAGGAACAAGTAACTGATTTTTTTTCACAGATTTACTTTACCAGCCTGATGGAATCATGGATGAAAAAGAAGTGATATAATAAGTGCAAGGTACAACTGATATATTATGGCTAAGATGAGAGTGTGGTCAAGAGCATAGAGCTTCTTGGAATGAAGGTACAATGAGCTGAGCTGGGCAGGAAATGGTTCTCCTGCCTCATGGAAATATATGGGGTTTCAAATATTTTCTGGTTCCTGGTTGAGATGATACCAAGATCATTTGAAATGATTAGACAAAAACTACAGCAGGGTGCAAAGTGGGGCAGACCAGAAACATATGGAGAATATTCACTCTGCATCAGGCAGAGCAGGGTCTTGGACCTGGATACCCTACATCCAGGTGAGTGCTCTAGCAACCTGGCTGCTAGTTTATTTGGGGCTTCTTTCATTCTCTGAATTTTTCTACCTTTTAAATGAATAAATATGTATTCATGCACTGGGAAGCATTGGTTAAGCCTTGTCCTGTCTGGCACATTTCAGCCTACGTGAGATGTCCAAGGTCAAGTTACTGCTCTGAATCAGATATTACAGTGACGTAAGTCTAAACAGTAGGGAACTGGCTATGCTGGAGGGATCAGTTTCTTTCATTTTCACATCCCAGAATATCTATCTTGGGACCCAAGAAACCTTTCCTATCCTGCCTTAGCAATGCAAACCCTGAAGTGGTGCGCCACTTCTGTGGAAAGAAGCCTCCTAATATCTGAGCCATCAAAGCTTGAACCGAAAATAAGTTGCGCAGGCTTTTGAGAGTCCAAGTCAATTGTGAATGAAGGAGTTTCCCAATCCTATTCACTAACTGTTCAGTGCAATATTCTCAGACATGCTAGTGATTACCTGTAACAGCTGAGAAGTTTTAAAATGCCTTGCATTGAAAGTTCTGCTTGGTGGATTAGTTCTGCTTGGTCGTCACATCTTTAGGTCTTTCTATCACAGCTATTCCCTCCCCTGTTTCTTTCCAGTCACTTTTAGATTGTAAACACATTTCCCATTTTTTTTTCATTTTCCCATTTCAAATTTCCATCATTTTTGTCTAGCACCTACTTTTAAAATTCAGAAAGGATAGATGGGTAGGTGCTAGAGAGAGGGCAATCCTATTTCAACATCTATGTTCTCCAAATAATGCAGTCATGTTTCTAAATAGTAGTCTAGCAAACACAATATCACAAAAGGAATCAAGAGTTCTAGGTCTTAATTCTGTTCTGTTGTTACCACTTGTTAATCCTGGGGAAGTAACTTAAATCAGAATCCAGAATGGTATTTAGATCACTAAATTTAATTTAGGTCCGTGAATCTCATGTAGTCATTTAGATATCTCATTAGTTTCAATGGGAGTCAAGCACCTAAATGGACAGTAGTTGCATAAATACTTCTGTGGAACTGAGCCTTATGTAAATGTCCTTGGGTGCATCTACATGTGCAGTTAATTTGAAGCAATAAACTCTGGCACTTATTGTGCCGGAGTTTATTGCTCCTGGGTGCACCATTTGAACACCTGGGACTGCTGTACATACCTGCTTGATTCCCAGCTCGCCTGCCAATAACCATGGCCTGTCTGCATCAAACTAAGGGGAATTTGGATGGGGGGAAGCCCTAGAGCCCATTATGAAGTTCCCATGCTTGGGACTCCTCGGCACTCTGAGTTCCAAGGGAAGTCTTAGAGGTAAACTGCTGAAGGGCTGGGAGTGCCATGCCTTCCAGAGTCACTGGGTCAGAGGAGGTCTGCCAGGAGGATGGCCCCTGAGGCAGGGCTTCTAGGACTGGGTGGGGTGCAGTTATTTCCTCCCACAGATAACACTGAAATGTTGTGGTTTTGTTCAAAATTGGAACCAAGACAAACTTTTAAGTCTTGAAATACTTTGAAAACTGGAATTACTGTTCTCTGCACAACTATAACAACAATATTTTCTTCTCTGCTTGTGTACATCTATGCCTAGCAGACTAAAACTTTTTGTCTTTTAGGCTTAATAATTAAACATATTACAAATTAATCTTAATAATTAAACCACTAAGTTTATACACAGACATGCACACTAACTGTATATACTAAACTTATATTGGTTTGTATATATAAATTGTGTGTGTGTGTGTGTGTGTGTGTGTGTGTGTGTGTGTGTGTGTGTGTGTAAACTTAGTGAAGGTAAATTATTTGTATAATTTGGCCAAGTCAGATCCCTTAAAAATACTTTCTATACACCTATAGATGTGTCAGCAACTTGGCTTATAACAACAACAGAAATTAATAACTACTTAGTCAGGCATTTGAACTCACCAAGGCAATTTACAAACTAGATTCTGAAGTGTAGCACTATTATGACTTTGGATACTTAAACTGTCACTTCAGATGTTTCATGCATTTTAAGTACCTAAGTGCCCATGCAATTGCCCAAATGTGGAACTGGATGCTTTAGTTTAGGTATTAAGTATAGGTAAGTATATAGAGTGTATATAATTACGTAAAGATTTACCAAAAATCAATACTTGACCAGAATGGCAATGAATGTAAGTCAATGCAGAAAAGTGAATAGTATGTATCAAAGGTAACAATTTAAACTTCTCATGATGGGTCTAAGTTCACTGTAAATACAGAGGGGAAAACGCTCTTAGATGTCACTATTGACAGAGCCATGTAAATATTTGCCTAGTGCACAGCAGCAGTAAAAAAACCCAAGTAAATATGATATTAGGATGGAATTATATGCTTTCATTTTAAGTGCCCATTCTGAGTTCTTGCTATTTTTTCCTACTTCCTTATATTTTTTCCCTTTCATGCACTGTTCTTTGGAAGTATTAAGGCCCCTGATTCACAGAAATTTAGGGATGGAAGGGACCTTTCTGTTACATTCCTCTTACTTTATGTGCAACACAATTTCTTTTCCTTTTCCTTTGTAATGTTTTTATAATGCAAAGCTAGCTCAACTACATGCCAGGGAGTTATGTTACTTACAGATTCTAAGAACACCTTTGCAGCAATGAATCACCAGACTTGCTCTAGATAGACTGTCTTCCATTCTTCTTCCCAGAAACATAACATGTGAGACATGCTCTCTTCCGTGGAAACAACAGACTCCAGGATAATGCACACCAAAGGTAAACTAACTGAAACTCACCTGACTTGTATCACTCCTTCCCATCACTCACATCTCCTGGAATTTAAGAGAGTTCATTGGTATTGTCATTATCTTGCATTTCTATGCTTCTTCCCAATAATGTTGCAAAGACCTAGAATCTGTGCTTTTAAAAACATTGTTCTCTTTGTCATGTCTTTCTCTTAGCATTCATCTTGAAAACAAACCTACAATTTTATTGTCTTTCTTTCCCCATATGAAATATAAGATATGACTGTCAAGCAAAAGAGATGTACTAATAGACACTAATATAATGAAGAGAACAGTTCTCATTCACCAATATCTGTTCAGCAATAGAATAGGAACCCATATAATTATTACAGAGTACAAGAAGAAATGGCTAGGGGAACAGAGAGATAAACAAGGTCTCACCAATGCATTATTGAATTTAATTTGCTCTTTGCCATATGGGTGGAATTCAGTCCCCTAATAGTTTGTGTAAATTTACTAGCCATGCCTACACATGAAGGGCAAATGCATTGAGTGTTCAGACTACTGAATCACTGCCTGTAAAATCTGTAAGGAAGCATGGCAGAGAGCCCAGTACCTTGAGCTACATGCAAACCTGAGGCTTTGGTTCAGATGCTGAAAGACTTAATAGAAACTAATGAAGAGATTGGGGAGGGTTGGATTTGGTTGAATTATTTATACTAAGGCATATAAATGAGAACAGTTCCTTGGTATAGATCTCTGACACAGATGTTTTATCAGTTTATGACTGTTCCCTGACTTGGTTTCTCCATCCATTAGGAGAAATCCATGCTTTTGTGGCTTGGGAAATCTATCCACTCCATCAGTTGTATTTTGAGGAAAGTGACTCTTATTCTGGATTCTGGGTGAGCTGTTTTCAATAAAGGCATGAGTGGGAGAATAGGAAAGTGTGTTCTGCTTCCATTCTTTTGCATAGAAACACACAATGGTATGTTGTGAATCACTGTTGTAACAGGTTTTGCACTGCTAAATCTGACATTCCTTGGCAGTCTGCCCTATGTGCCCGGTCCTCTATCCTTTTAGCTACTTCCCTTTTATTCCACCCGCTTTGCCTTTGCTGTTAAATTGTTATTATAGTTTGCGAAGGTGCCATTAGTCACCAGAGCTGCACTTTAGGTGCTCTCCTTTGCCCTGCTTATCATGGGGTAGCCTGCCTGGCCACCCTATGATGGGCCTGTCAGGCCCGAATAGAAAGCCCTGTAGTGGTTCCTTGCCAGAAACCACCTGCTGACTTTCCAGATTTGTGTCTCTTCTTTACTGTTCTAACACCCATTTTGATCCAACCAGACTCTGGCCCTCTTGGTCTACAACTGAATCTCACTTACTCTATCAAACCTGCTCTGCAGTTTGAAAGTTGTATCAAACTCAAATAGCCAATCTTAGTCTCAGGGCTTCTTGCCCACAATCAATGTCCATCTTAGGGCTTCTACTCCTAACCGGGTTCTCCTAACCACATTTAGCATCTTGAAGCCATCCTTCTAGGCCTTGCCTGCCTTCCATTTGCTTCACTTCTGGGTAGTTTGTTCTTTGAGCTCTCAGTTGCCATTTATGGCAGCTCCATTCAAGGTAAGCTAAACTCAGGCTTAACCCTCCAGTCCACTCCACAGTGCACTTCAGTCAGACACAGCCCTCTCTCCCTGGTATTCTAGTTTCATACTCCATTCTGCTGACTGGACATGCTTGCTATCCCAGATAGGCTATCCTGGTACTTCTGGAGTGCCCTCTGGAGCAGTTCAAGCTTCCCTTGGGCATAAATGCCCAATGCCCACATTGTCCTGGACAGAACACACCCAGCGTCTTTAGACTTCCAGTATTCTCACTGGGGGAAATGTAAACCAATCACCCACAAACCAATCACTAATAGCACCCTCTCACAGTGCCCTTTAGTGGCCTTCTCATTCCTCTACTAGCCACCCCATGCCTTAACATAAACAGAAAACCATCACCTTGAAACCAGCACAGCTAAACACCCTCTAGTTCTTTTGGTTTGAAGCCTAATCTCACAGAAGCTCCTTTTCCCTCATTGCTCCTGGCCAAAATCAGCTCCTCTGCCTAGAAGCCAGGCTTATATGGCTTTAGGTTCTGCCCTCTTTCAATCCTGTGATCTATTCTCTATCTCTCAGAACTGGGCACAGGGGTTTCTCACTGATAGGAGCATGCTCAGCTCAGATGCAGCCATTACCTAATTTACTGCACAGAACTCTGTTCTTTGTAACATGCTCTCTTTACAGCTTTGCAATTTGGGGCACTGTCTGACCCCTCTCTCAGTAAAGGGGAGGTCCAGGGTCCATGTTACACAGTTTAAATAAACCACAAACCACTTGGTTTGCAGTCTGGTTTTAACACAATCAACATGTATGCATTTGGCTGGCCTATACATAAATACATAAATAAATAACAGGAGAGTATGAACAGATCATCCAAAACACAGAGTAAATTGCATAAGGAAGCATAGAAACCTGATTATAGAAATTACATAGCAATCATCCTTTTGATGTCGGGGGGAGGGAGGATAAAGGAGGGCTTGGCTGCAGGATATTCAAAATGCTTATATATTGCTATGGATGGCAAGGAAATTAAAGATGAAGCCAGCATAGATTACTGATGCTTTCAAAACAGAAACCAAACTGGTTTGGAAATCCATGGAGTATATATAAAAATAAACATATCAATAGTATTGTTTAGAGTGTACTGCATATTGCACATACAGTTTGGTACATATTCTCTAATCAAAAGATTAAATTGAGGAATGTCACTGAAATTTACCCTTTTGTTTCCACATACTGGTTTACAAAATGCTGGTTCCTCTATCCCAAAGACCTTAGACCCCAAATTAATTGCATAAATTGTAGGCTTGACTGGTTTTAATGAAAACTGAAGCACTTTCCAGATGTACAAGAAGGTTCCTTGCCTATAGAAGCATCTAATAAAAGGAGTCAGAAAGGCAGCAAGGGGGGGAGGGCAATAGCAAAGTGATTTTCTGCAAGCTGATTTAAGTAATTGTTTTAAGTCAGTTGGAGCTCAATCATTTAATGATAATTTTCTGGCTATATTTTGTTGTGTCATTCATTTTACCCACTTCTGCTTCCTTTTGTATCTTTGTTGATGTCTGTTTTCTTGTCTCCACATGAGAGAGAGTTTACACAGCATGTGTACAAGGGCATGCACTTAAAGCAATGGCTAAACTTTAAAAGGAATTCCTACCTTGCAGGCAGTGACTGAGAAGCTTTTTTTCCATCTGGTAATTGTTGTTCACCTCTGACCCCCTTTTGGGTGAACTTATAACTGGCTCATTATTACTTCCTTAAAAATAAGTGTTTGGAAGTGGATTTCATTAGGCAGGCAAGTCTAAACTAGTCTTCACCACTAGTGTCCATGCAGTTCTTCAAAGGAATGCTGATTGATATTCTTTATGTAAAAGAGAGGAGGGATGGAGCATGAGATATTTTTAAAAACAGTATAAAAAACAGCATGAGGTTGAGTATGAAGTGTACAGTTTTACTAAAACCAAAAGGGATGCATGCCTAAGTCATATCTTCAATCTAGCACTAATCAACTTCTCAAATGCACATTATACCTGATTCTGAATAGTATTATGAGTGCAAAAATAGTACAGGATGGAAATCAGCTGAGATATAGGAACTTGGACCCAGATTGTTTAAGGCATTAAGTTGCTTAACCTTACTGATTTCAATAGGCAATCAAATCCTTTTAAAAATCCAAGCTTTAACACCTAATCCCCATTTTCACTGCAACATGTTTATTTTACATGTAAACATAAGCAGGTCTTATAGCAAGTGCTAAATGTATATTGCAAAAGTAGTTTAAATGGGCTCCAAAGTGAGTGAAATTAGTCCTTTAGCCCTGAATTTTAAATGTTTTCACACGGCTTGAAAATCCTTCTAGTCACCTACATCCATTTTTAGGCTCCAATACTGGAACTGGTCAGAACCCAGAATCCACCTTCCCCAGCACATTCTGAATTTTCAAACAAGAAATAAAAAAAAAAAAAAAATTGTTCCACATCAGCACAAAAACTCGTAAGTTGGACATTTCTTGTAGAATGGGACAAAATCCAAAATGTTGTGTTTCTAAGTATCAAAGCAACATTGTTTCAAAGCTTTTCTGAATACAATTGGCAATGTTCCCCAAGCTGCTCAGGGCTCTGGCAGGCCACCTGCTGGGATACTGAGCTGAGAGGAGCCTGGAAACCTGTACACAGTCCTGCTTTGAGCCAGTTGATAGGCTCTGTGCTGAGGTGTAGGAGCCTTGGAGCACTGCAAGGGCCAGCTTGACGGCAGGCTTCCCAGGTTCCTAGGTCTGCCGCTGCTTGCCAGACGAGCCAGCTGTTGGGGAACTGAACAGGAAATTTGATGTGGTCTGACTAGCAGACTCTATAGGGATACAAGCTGAATGATGAGCCCCGATTTTAGAATGTCTCCCTTTTGATAGTACAATAAAGCATGAATTTAATCTCTAAAACAGAATTCAAATCACTTTGCCTAGAAAGCATCTGTCCTTTTAGAGTTCTGTCCTAGAGTATTCAGCAGTTTTTCCTCTAGGAATAGCTCTGGTTAGCTAGTTGGTTTTATACCATCTAGTCCCAGGTTCTATGTAGAATTAATAAATAATAACATCCTTTTTACGAGGATGCGTTAACTGAGACATCTCCCAAGCACAGAAGCAGCTGTGGGACAGAAGCACCATCCTATCCAAACACACCAAAACAGGACCAAGCATCCCCATTAACTGCCACTTCAGTATACCTAGAAAAAATATTGCAAGGAGAGAGTGTCAAAAGATGAAAAAGCTTCCTTTCCTGAAACAATTAGCAGCTCCATCTAAGACATGGGAGTCTGGTGCCTCCCGAGTCTGGGGGGGCACCAGATCACCAACCAGGGGGACGGGTCCCCAGTGGTTGATCGCTGACCAGGGGATGGGGCGGTTCCTCCAGTGGCTGATCACGGAGCCCAAAATCACCAGCAGCGAAACTGGAAGTACACTTCCACTGGCACTTCCAGTTTCCTGGCTGGTGTTTCCAGGCAGTGTACAGCCAATCTCAGGGGGTGCATATGCATCTGTGTGCATCCAATGATCTAAGAAGTAATTTAAAAAAATCTCTGTATGTAAGAGGAAGAGGTGCTCACTTTAGTCCACTGGAATGATTGGACAGCTTGTTTAGCATATAAACCGTGTGCACTGATACACCTGATGGAAATAATTAAAGAATATGTTAATAGGTTAATTTGATCTATTCTTCCATTTTTTTGTTGCTATTTCTAGAAAAATGGATCATATTTTTGCTTATATTAGCCTTAAATATATTGGATCATATCTTTGGGTCTAAGTTTTATTGAACTCTGTGGATCTAGGCCAGTATTACAGTAAATATCCATTGTAAGTCTCACTCCACTGCTAACTGTTTGTTGAAACATGGAGATGCATCTCCAAAGTCAGCCTCAGTGATAATAATAGCCTTCATTTGTTGGGCAACCTAGCAGCTGGATGCTGGCAGAGCAAAGAGGTAAACCTTTAATAATGGTTTTTCTACTGTGCATCCCTTCTATGAAGAGAGCACCAAAAAGTGTGGGAGACTGACATAACTGATAGTTCTGGGTAGCTCTTTGCCCTTTAATTGCTAGGTACCTCTGAATTCATGATAAAGCTCGATGTCCAAATGCAACCTTTATGCATGTTGTGTAACACCATTTGCTCAGGGATATATTTTTAGTACTGTAAGAACTTCTATGCTTAACTGTTTAACAGAGGAGATATGCTTTTAGCTCTATTGTACTCCTAACATTACTAAACAGGACCCAACCCTGCACTCCTGATTCAACCAAAATCTCCTATCAATCTCTAATAAGTAGAAGGAGAGGATGTATATCATATTTCAATAAAAGTACAAATGCCTTCTTATCTAATATATAGGCTAGTTTGGATTCTGGGTCAGTACCATATAGTTATGATTCTAGTGTCATTTTGGTGCCAAACTGATACAAGATTAGAATTAGGCTCTAAACATGAAATAATACTGGATTTTGAGCCTGATACTTATAGATGCTGAACATCCACAGCTCCCATTGACTTCAATTTGAGTTTAGAATGATTATGTTTTGGTAACAAGAGGAGGATCAGGGAAAGTGTGGGTCCCTTACTGAATGGGAGAGGCAACCTAGCGACAGATGATGCAGAAAAGGCTGAAGTACTCAATGCCTTTTTCACCTCAGTCTTCACAGGGAAGGTCTGCTCCCAGACTAGAACCTGGCAGCACAGTTTGGGGAGGAGGTGAGAAGCCAACAGTGGTGAAAGAACAGCTTAGAGACTATTTAGAAAAGCTGGATGTGTACAAGTTCACGGGGCCAGATGTGATGCACCTGGTGTTAGAGTGCTAAGGGAGTTGGCTAATCTGATTACAGAGCTGCTGGCCATGATCTTTGAAAACTCATAGCTATAAGAAGAGGTTCCGGATGATTGGAAAAGGGCAAACATAGTGACCATATTTAAGAAAGGAAAAGGAGGCTACAGAAGCAGCAGCTCTGCAGAAGAGGACCTGGGAGTTACAGTGGACAATAAGCTGAATATAAGTCAGCAGAAAGCTAACGGCATACTGGGCTGCATTGGTAGGTGTGTTGCAGCAGAGCAAGGGAAGCGATTCTTCCCCTCTATTCAGCATTGGTGAGGTCACATCTGGAGTAATGTGTTCAGTTTTGGGCCCCCACTTGGAAGGGATGTGACCAAATTGGAGAGAGTCCAGCAGAGGGCAATGAAAATTGTTTGAGGGCTGTGGGACATGACTTATGAGGAGAGGCTGAGGGAACTGGGCTTTTAGTCTATAAGATAGAAGACTGAGAGGGGATTTAATACCAGCCTTCAACTACCTGGCAGGGGGTTCGAAAGAGGAGCTAGACTGTTCTCAGTGGTGGCAGATGACAGAAAAAGGAGCAGTGGTTTCAAGTTGCAGCAAGAGAAGTTTAGGTTAGATACTGGGAAGAAATTTCTTAACTAGGAGGGCAGTAAAACAATGGAACAGGTTACTGAGAGAGGTTGTGGAAGCTCCATCCTTGGAGATTTTTAAGACCCAGATAGTCAGAGCTCTGTCTGGGATGATCTAGTTGGGGATGGTCCTGCTTTTAGCAGGGGTTGGACTAGATGACCTCCTGAGGTCACTTCCAACCCCAATTTTCTATGATTCTACGATTTCTGAAATTAGATCTAAGGTGCCTAAGTATCTGTTAATTGGCACATATGCATCTAAATAGTGTAGCCCATAGAAGTGTGGTTTTTGCAGCTTCCTTTGGAAAACATTCAACTCATATTTTAGGGCACCATTAGATACATGTCAGTTATATATTTAAATAATCTCATTATTAACAATGTTCCATGGGAAGAATTGCACTAAAGAAGGAAAACTAGCAGAAAGTTTGAGAAAGGTGTGTAAAAATATTTATCTCAAATCAGCATAAGAATAGACACTGGCATTGTTGACTTCTTTATGGGCTGAAGATGAGAATCTGAGACCAGAATTTGTAATTTTAGTTCACCAGTAATAAAATGAAATGCACACCGTTTGAAGATACATTTTCTTCTTTTATACCTGTCTCATGCAGAGTTCAGTATTCCATATATCCCTTACAACACTAGGCTATATCAAAAGTGAAAATAATGTGTAGATGGTCTGAAAGTACAAAAAAAGCATGTCAGACATCTTGGGAGGAGCAGATATGATTGGAAAGAATGAGCTATTTTTGCCTTTTGCTTTTTATCCCTTCTGAAAAGCAATCCAATGAAGGCAGAGTTCAGTCTATAGTATCATACTGTTATTTTTCCTCTTAGCAGGTGTTTTTTATCTTTCTTCTTTATAAGAAGTATTTTTCCACAGAGACTTCATTTTTGTTTCTATATTTCCATGCATGACTTTTCTCTTTCATGTTAGTTGTTTCAGAAAAAAACAGGAGTTTTACAGATGTAAAGTGCAGGATATTGCCTTCCAACCCTTTGAGTTTAAATATAATTTATGGGCAATTTTAAAAACTATGAGCTAGATCCTCATCTTCATTATAACTATAGGGCATTTATACACGTGCTCCAGGAGTGGGAAGGGTGGGGCATTTTAATTAGAGCAGCTCTAGGAGCGGTTTTAGTTAAAGCACCCAGAACATCACGTGTATCAGCATCCCTGCACTGAAAAATAGTGGCTGGGGCACTTTAACTAAAACTTGTAGAACAAGCTTTAGTTGAAGCACCCCTACCACCATTTTCCAGTGCGGGGATGCTGATACACATGACACTGGAGTCAGCTGGAGCCACGGTAATTACCACCCGCCAACAGACACTATTAATCGAGTCTGCTCCGACGTGCTGTAATTACAGTATGTCAAAGCAGCCTCTCCGCACATGTATAGGCACCCATAATGATTAATGGCAAGTGAAAATCCTACACTGTATGCTTATGTTCTCTCTGATGTGGGATATTCAACATATATGTACTATAGTCTTGCTTCTAAAAATATTTGCCAATCACCTTTAAGTCTTCAATATGACTTAATGGGTAAGAATAAATTAATGTTTCATGAAACAAAATAATAATGACAAATAATATTTGTAAATCATGTGTTTTAGTATTTATAAAATATTACTAATAGATACTAGTGAAACAGAAGACCATAACAAGATTCTGTGATTTATAATGCCTATGATGAGGAGTTTTGGGGGCCAAGAAAAAAATTTGAAGTTCAAAATCTGAAATTGTTAAAAAAGCATCTTAAGATAGGAAACTGTCCATATTTCAGAGTAGAACAGTCCATCTTTACAAAATCATTCTTTTAGTAAATAGCTTCCATCTAAAAACATACATTTTCAAGTGGATGTTTCTTTACCTCTTTTCTTTCCATTTATGTTATAGATCTGGTCAGACTATTCTACATCTTTTTAAATGAATATTTACATCAAAATGTTGATTTCTACTAAGAATATAGATTTTCTTTTTCTTTTCTATTTTTTGTGTTAGTAATTTGTCCAATTTGTTCTGGTTTCTAAGATTACTGGGTAGCATGTTTGGAAAAAAATCTCAGCATAATTTTTAAAAATGTAAAAAAAAAAGATGAAAGTTTCATTATTGCTTTTTTGACCTGCTATAAATGTGTACAATGGCTATTTTTAGTACTCAATTCCCCCCACCAGTTTTTGCAGACAACTTCACCAGCAATCGGGTACACACGAGCTGGTATGCAAACAAATAAAAAAACAAACAAACACCCACCCTCCAGAAATCCCTCCAGATTTTTACAGAACTCTGTAAAGGTAAAGCCTGTAACTCATCTGCTTATTAAGACTATATCACGGACAAGTTAGTCTGATACATTCTATTGATTGAAGGAGCTACTGCTGTTTTCTTTTAGGCTCTAAAAACCTGTATTAGAAAGACTCACTGCCATTCACATCAGTAGAAAGACCCTGGAAATTTGCCCTTTTGGCAGGTGGAAGGACAAATTCATCCTGCAGAAATCTACCTGCTCCAAGTGCCCCAGCCAAACCAGGTCAACAAAGCACGTACTTTCTCACATGCAGTAACTCAGCTTTTATGGCTTTCTCCAGCTCTCTCAAGCCCTCTCATACCCCTGCCTATAGTCTAAATGACAATGATCTCCACGGTACTTGCTGAAGCATCCCACCACAGGTACTGCCACTGCCCTAGCATGACTGGAAAACTGTGAAATGCAGCTTTTATGGGAAATTAGGTGACTAAGACAGAAGTGCAGCTCCCCACTGTAACTGAGAATGCATTGCAGGAAGTGTTCTGTGTTACAATGATCCCCCGGACCAAACAGAAGTTCACTGTTGGTTCCAGGGGGGAAGGAAACCTAGCTACTGGCTTCCAGGCTGCAGGCAGTTTCCCCTAGCAATGGCCCCTCCTCCCCGCAAGGTTGGGTTGTTTTCAGACTGGAAAGGGGGAAGGACAGCAGAGGGAGCTTGCTCTAGGGGGTCCTCAGCTGGTGCTGGAGGGTGGGGTAGGTGAATTGGAGCCCTCCCCCAACCTCGGGGTGGGGGGCCAATATACCTGCTCCACCCTCCAACCTGGGGGCTGAAAAACTAAACTCCCTCCCTTCCCCACTCCCATTCTGAAAATAGTGACAGGCTGAGAGGCAGCGCAGTTAGAAGTTACAGAAGACAGTCTGTTTTGAATAGTCTTTGTCTTACCCCTCATGCAATGAGGGTTCAGATTTTCACCCAATTGGCCATTTTTTAAGTGGTCTGCAGCTGTGCACTTGTGTTTGGTCACAGCTACAAATGGCTTTCTGTGGCCAGATTGGGCAAAAATTGTCACTTCTGTCTGTGCCCAAAAACTGAGGCAGCAGAGTCACTTAACATTTAGGCAAAAGACTTCTACTAGTGAAGACTTTATTATGGAAAAAGATGGTATGCTACACTGATCACTGAAGTCATGATAAATATACAAATTCATTGCAAGCATTAAGAGGTTCAATGGGAGACTTTCCATATGAAATAAGTTAAAATTGATTTTTACCAAACAATCACTGAATTAGTACTGCTGAATTAATACTTGGACATGAATACCCTCAAAATATTTGCATTAGCTAACAGACATGATCATGCAATTCTCATCCAGATCCATAAAAGAAGGGATAAGAACCATATGCTTTTAAGAAGCAAAAATGTTTCTTTTGAGATTTATCATGTTTCAAAGTTACACCACCAGCAGTAATGTGAAGAGGTGACCAACCACAGAGGTGATTACAGTTGCCACCTGAAGGCCAAACATAGCAGTAAAAATGTGCCATTGCTTAGACCAGACTGAACTAAAAATAGGATAAGCATGATTTCCATTAAAATTGATGTGTTGAGAAACAAATGTAAAGTGAGTTCACTACATTTGCTCTCATTTAGTGGATGCAATGCGGCTGAAGCTGTATAAATATTTCATGTTGGACTACTAGAGAAATTTAAAATCGAAGTTTCATTGCTAGATTCCTCCATATAAGCTTTCCTAATGAGCAACAGAAAATAACTACTATACATACAAACATTTTTGGCAGGATTTGCCCTTCCACTAACTTTCCCTGATTTAGATCTGTACAAGCTTATTTCACCTTTGCAGTTTTCATATGTGCTATTACCAGACTGTTACTTGAATCAGCATTGTGGTACAGGCACTAGACTGTAGTGCTACAGTAAAGGGAAGAAAATCTGTGGTAATAAATAATTCAATACTGTTGCTCACTGTACTTGAGTCTCTTCTGTGCTCCTTTGCAAGAAAGGGGGCCCTAAGTTATTCCACTCTTAAAACCAGTAAGTTACTACCTTTATTTGAACTGTATACAGGATACAAAAGTGCATGAGCTAGTAGTTATTTGGGGAAGAGGACACTGTCAAACATAAATCAGTTAGATTTATTTAAAAATTGTAGGAATAGGAAAAAATGTAGGGTAATACACTGAATTCTTTCCTAGTTGGCTTGATCAAATTCAGGCTGTTCTAGACCTGTTATGTTATGATTTTCTTCTTACACTTGAGATGCAGTTTTCCTTTTCTCCAAGGGACAAGTGAGCTGTCAGTTAGCAAAGGGTATGACCTCTACCAGCACTACGGTATTTTGGAAGAGGTTAGAGCAGTGGTACGATCAGTTTAAATAAAACAAAGGGATCTGGAAACAATTCATATATAAAAATACATTGACAACCTGGTCTCTGTGGCATTTCATTCTCATGCTAACATATTTCTGCCTTCAGCATAGCATTTTTTTGGCAAATGAGGGCATAAAAAAAAGCAAAAAAAAGCTAGCTTTCTGATGTACATTGGAACCTCACTGAGGTGACATGCCAGGAAACTAAATTGGAAAAGAAAGTACTCTTCTTTCACCATTCTTTCAGCAATTCCATAAAGACAATCCAGAATTATTTGCAACTAAATGTATCATGATTTAATGAGTGAAGTAATCTTCCCTGCTAACCCATGAGACTTCAATTTGTCACTGCTTGCCTAGTTTAATGAAATGTACAGTACAGCAATTTCCTGCAGCTGCAGTAGTGTGACTAGGGGTAGGAGAGCAGGGCAACAGGCCCTGGCACCAACTGACGGGATGTATGGGCCATGGCAGTAGTAGCCTTTGTGTGGGCAGCTTACAATCTTGCAGTATCAGCAGCAGTCCATGTGTGAAAAGGTAATCCTTCCAACCTCTCCTCCTCTCTCTGGTGCTTGGCGTCCACTAAGAAGGGTACAAAAATTGATAGCTATGCCTTTGTGTAGGTGGTCCAAATCCTTTCTGGGGATCATTAAGCTAAAGCCACCATAGACACAACAAAAGCTGTAGGACATATCACATTCAGAAGTCTTGAGAATCAGGTGGAAGAAATGGCAGAAATGACAAGCACAACAATGTTTTATTGCTCATTTTGATGCTGTTCCTGAATGATCAGTGGCATAGATGTTGTTTCTAGCTATACATTACAATAGGCATGTAGCTGTATCATTAGGATTCAGATCTTGCTATATTCATCCATGAACTTGTCACCCTGGGATTAGACAACAATAATGCATTCTACTTATGGCTAATACCAAATGAAATTTATAATCAAGGTGGAAAAAAAGCTCTCTCACCCATGACACATTGTTATTATGAAAATCTGGAAACAAGAACATATTCCCAGTGGCTTCAGAGATGCCATAATCATTACTGTAATCAAGAAAGGAATAGAGCAGATTGCTGCAAGCATTGTGGTAGCCTCCCCTGCATTCTCCATAAAAGACTCACTTTTTTCACTCAAAAGATTATACCTGAGTGCCAGCATGGTTGCAGATCACTCAGAAGTAGGGCTGTGCAAAGCTCCGGTCCCTGATTCGATTCGGCAGAGATTTGGGACGATTTGGTGGCCAAATCTCTGAATCTGAATCAAATCAGAGGACCCTCTAATCTCTCTGAATTTAATTAGAATCCTCCAAATTGATTCGGAGAGATTTGGAAAGATTTGGCAATTCAGATATAGACACAGCTTTAAATGTTTTTTCTACATACTGTTGCGTGCGGTGGAGTTAAACGCTCTGGGCGAGAACGAGGAGGTAATAACACAGAGGCAGAGTCCTTCGGCACTTAAAGAGAAATGCAAAAAGTTTTATTTTTGTACTCACATTGGTAGTGAGGCTCAGTTTTCTTACAGCTGTTACAGATACTGCAGTTATTCGCTCCCCTGGGAGAGATCACTCATTCGGGATACGGAGGGGTCGCCCTGGGTTTTGGATATCAGTGGGCGTTCATGAGACTGGGATAGAATTGGCCAGATTCCTCCCTGCTCGTTTAGTCTTGGACTCCGGAGTGTTCTCTTCCGGATTCCTGGTTGTTTTATAAGAAACAGTGAGTACTCTGCGGTTGCTTATCTGGGAGTGTACAGTGAGTACTTTTCAAAATGACAGCTGGTCACTCGGGAGCAAGCAAGCATTACACAACATCCCCCCTTGACCAGTGAGACATTTTGTTGAGGTACTAGGAGAGGGGTTCAAGAACAATGGGATCGGGATCAATAAAATTGGGGTCTGTCGGCAAGCGGGTATATACAAAGGCAGATAGCGAGGTTAGTTTTGTTTTGAGATATTGTAAAATCCAACAATCAAAACAGAGGAAGACGGCAATTGGTAACAAATGCGTAATGAGGGGCATTAGCAAATTGAGGAGCCATGATGACGTATCCCATCCAAACCAACGGAAAAGGTCTGACAGCCAACCTTGGCCTATACCCGAAAGACGGTTGACCTTTGCTGCGATTTCCTTCATTTTGCCGACCTGTAGAGATAAGGGAAGAGAAACACTGGGGATAGCAATACAACAATGGTCCCGAGAAAGATTGAGGTATTGACAAAGTCCACCCTGTTGAAGAAGAATTGCGTCTAATGCCAAGCAGTTTTGTAAAGTCATTTGAGAGGTGGCTTGAAGCTGGAGGTTAAGTAGCTGAATCGCTGTGCGGGTTGCATTCGTGAGTTCCTCTACCTGTTCGATGAGTTGTACGAGAGCTAGGTGGATCTTGATTTCTCCGTATCCAGGAATGAGGGACTCGGCTCCCCATTTTATGGTTTCCCATAAACGTTTATGCCAGGATAGTTGGCTCCACGTCTCCTGGTGTGGGTAGGGCTCACGAGTAGGCCGGTGACAGCGTATAAAGAGACTGTGGGGTAAATACGTATTAGCATACAAGGGGGGACACAATGCTACGTGGGTGAGAAAACACTGGATGCCGGTAAGGGTGGCTGGCAAGGCGGTATATAGCCGGCCATCAGAGCAGGCCCACAGTAGTCCCAATGGAGCAGGGGTAGACAACTGTGTGCAGTCGCCCAAAAAAGAAAACGCTTGCCAAGCGCGTGGAGGTCTATAGGGGATGAGTCGTGTGCCATGACAAGCCGAACTCATTAATGCCACACGTAAAATAGGGTAGAAAAAAGAATGCCATGTAGAATTTTCGGACACGTTGACAGCTAAAGATGCGTTCCAGGTAACTAGAGATGGGGGTCTATGAAAAGATGAAAGGGTAACTTGAGGGACAGGGCCAGGTCTGAGTGGACAAATAGCATGAGCACCTGAACAATTGGCACAAGGACTGGTACAAGGTGGAAGTTCGAGGTACCAAGGGGGAGTCAGGGCCTGTGGGTTCCAGGCCAGAGAATTATCAGACCTGGACCAGCTCATGCCCCGAGGGTTGATTCCCCACGGGACCTGAGAACATGAAATTGAGTGAGGAACACCTGGTCTTATAGTTCCTGCTACGTGATCAGTGGATGTAGACGTACAGTTCCGTGTGGTCGTGTGTAGATGGGCAAATGTGATACCCGGCGGCCAAGTATAGGTTGTGTTTCTGGGAACCCACTTGCGGGACCCCCAGTTGTAGTAAACAGTAATGGACGGGGGATTATCTTTGGATCTATCCCGGAACCAGGCTGGAACATTGAGTGGTTCAAGATAGGGGGTAAGCACCGGATCAGAAACGGAAAGGGGGAGACGGAGATATGCGGTAAGACTGAAGCGGTTAGTGGCGGTGCCGAGGGTTTCGGCCCAAGCAGACAACATGAGTAAGACGGTGTTGGACAACGGCGGTGCGCTGGCGTCTTGTGGTGAGTTGGCGTCTCGTCCGCGTTGAGGGTTGGGCGGCGCCCGCTGAGGGTTGGTCGAGGCCCAATCGGTCGGGAACAACAGGATACAACACGCATACACAGCTATAAAAGGCATCATGCTGACGGATCTGAAAAATATAACAACTACGGACAGGGGTTAGAGAGCCACAGGAGATAAGTCTGTTCGATGGCTTAGCCAGTTGTGGTGAGCCAAGACGTTGCGTGGAGGAGAGGCTGCTTGGAGAGAAATTAAGTATTAGGGAATTCGCCGGGCTGTACGATTGTCCCTGCAACAGGGACAGGTCGGTGATCGTTTGCGGCGGGAATGGAGACCCAGACTTGGTCTGAGGCCACATAGCAGGGAGTCCAGGGGGGTCAAGGGAGGGCGGGGCGGTCCTCCCAAAGGGGGTTGGCGCCAGGTCGGAGTGTTTGGTCCAATTTTTGTAGGAGCCCCCTCCCTGAAGATGAAGGTGTTCCTTGTAAAGACTGATATCTCGTTCGATGACCCCGTTAGATTGTGGATGATAGGGAAGATGATGGTGCCACTGTATGTTGCGTCCCCGGGCGAAGTTGTCCAGTGCCTTGGAGGTGAATGGGGGCCCGCTGTCTGAGTGAATGACATGGGGCACCTGCCATCGGGCAAATGCATGGTTTAGGCACGTCGTGATGGCAGGGGCATTCGAATGACGAGTGGGGAGAACAAGGAGCTGTTGGAAGCCAAGGTCTACTATAGCGAGGGCCTTGTTCAGCGACTTGGCTCCCGGAAGGGGTCCGAGGAGATCTAGTTGCCAAGTTTTTCCAGGGGAAAAGAGGGCGGGATCAAAGGTACCCTGTTGGTGCCGATGTGGATGCAGTTTATTCTGGGCACAAGCTATACAGGCTTGTGAGATATCTTGCCAATCTTTTAATGAGGGTGCAGGTCCTGTTGGTGCTTGGGCATGCCAAGTGCGCCTGGCTTTTTGGGGTCCTGGGTGACCCCAGTGCTCGTGAAGCCAGGATAAGAAAGTGTTATAGTCCGCTGTAGCAGTAGAAACCGCTCGAACCTCCTTGGCCATGCTTCGATGAACTCATTTTGAGAGTTGGCGGCCAATAACTTATCAATAATGGCATGTATTGGGTCGGTGTTGGGTCGATGCGAGCGGGTATGTTTGAGCATAGGGAGGACAACAAAGTGGCGAAGAATCCGAAAGATGTCCTCCCAAAGCAGTTAATTCTCGGAGGGGTCGGCGGTACCCGTGGCGATATGGTAAATATATTTGGAGTCGATGGCTATGACAGGTACCGGGAGGTGCCATTGTGACGTTCGAGGCAATGTTCTAAAACGCTATAGAAAGCGAGCAGTTCATTTTGTTGTGCTGAGTTAGGACCGAGATTGGATGAGATGACGTGGACATCGTAACACGGCTTGCAGTAATATCCGTAGCGGCCGTCGCCTCGAGTGGTACTGTCGGCCGCCATCCAGGCTGGAGTTGTCGTACCATATAAAACAGGCCTGGCGGGTGTGTCTACAGCGGTGGGGTCGGGAAATCCCTCTGCGTCAGAGTGGGCCCAGCCGGACCAATAATACTGATGTCATAAAACGAGGCCAGTCCAAGTTTTAAGAGTCCCCTGGAACTCCTGATGGGGTCGGAAGGGGTTGAGGGAGGTAAGCAGGCTCGCCTCTGGCCCAAGGAGTGTTCCCGGCGATGGGGCTAAGTGCTCTGCCATTTGGGCAGCTAACATAATTTTTCCCAGGTATCGATGTTGATGCGATTGGAGGGTTTTGTGACCCGCGAAAGCTAAAGGCTTTTGATCTGAAGTGGAAGCAGTGAACCAAAGGTGAGCGGTGGTATATCCTATTGAGATCGTCAGTCGCGCAGTCATCGGCGGGGCCCGAAGCTTCATTTCTCGAACCGTGGTGAATAAAGCGACGAGGTTGCGTTGGTCTTTGGGTGTCCAGGGACAACGACGCTGAGTCTTTTTTTGGATTTGTTGTTGTAGGAGTTGTAAGAGAGGAAGGTGGTCGGGTGTAAGAAAGTTGCGAAACCAATTTAAGCAGCCAAGCAGGGCCTGAAAATCCCTTAGGGTGCTTGGGTGTACATCCAACGGAGGGACGTCCGTTCCATGTGTGGTTCCCCAACAGAATGATCTGGAGAATCGAGTCCCCAGGAATGTAACGTCCGTTGTGGACTCGAGGTGGGACTTTGTCGCATTTACGGTCCATCCCGCATCTTGTAGATGTTGATTGAGGCAGGCCGTGGTGGCCTGAACGCTGGCGCGATCAGCACCGAGGACAATGATGTCATCGACATAGGACCATATGTGAGCGTGGGGCGGGCGTTGGGGTTCAAAGGTGCGCAATGTCTCTCCCATGGCTGCAGTGGCCAGCGCAGGGGCATTATGGTAACCCTGTGGGCAAACTGCCCAGGTGTACATCTTTCCCCCTACACACATATTAAGTATCCCCTGTGGGTCACTTATAGGGATGGAATAAAACATGTCTTTTAAGTTAATGGTGGTCGCGAACCACTCTCCCTCGCGCTGAACGGTTGTTATAGCATCTATTATTTCCATAATTGTGCGTGAAGCCGGAAGCTGGAGCGGTACACATCGGTGGTTGGCTTGGCGATAGTCCACGACTAGGCAGGCGTCGTCTGGGTTACTGGGTTTGGGGATGCCCCAGCCCGCAGATAGGTAGGTCGAGGCATTGACCGGCTGAATGCGCCCTTGTTGCTCCAAACCCCATAGCAGTGTGTCGATTTTGGGCTGTAGTGCCGGCCATGTGGGGATGGGTTGGTAACGCCACGCCATAGGGATGCTCAGTTGCGGTTGATGCTTTGTAACTGGTGTAATAGTTAACGGAAGGGCTGAAAAAATGGCGTGCTTAAATTTTAGGGCTTTGATGGCCAGGACGCCTAAGATGTTAAGGTCGCCCATAACTGCATAGAGGGGGTAGGGTGCGATGAAAAATTTTACCACTGTGGTGGCTGAAGTCGCGTGAAGGCCCCTGACGAACAAAGTCTTGGATGTGCGTACGTGGGGAACTTCAGGGCGTAGCACGTTAACTTGTGCACTCGTGTCTAGGAGAAACCGAACGGGGATAGCGTGAGAAGAAGAAGTTGCACTTACGTCAAAGGTAGCGTATGGGCGGTCATCTGTGAGGTCGCGGCCGGCGTAGCCCATCTTGGCGGCCGCTACTTGTTTTTTACTTCTTGGGCATCCCCTGACCGGAACGTAAAGCCCAGTCTCTCCGCCAAGGTCCGTTGGGCCACGTCCCCCAGATGGCGGATCTGTGCTTAGTCAGGCTGCTTTTGTTGAGAAGGAACCCAAACATGGCTCGTTCTTCCGGAGATCGCTCCGGCGGTCCCGGGTGAGGTTAGCGGGGTTTGTCTGGTGTATTCGGCCATTGTGTTGTGGCAGCAGCAACCTTTTGCATGTGTGGTCCTCGCTGGGTGCTCGTCAGTTTTCCTAGGGAGCTTAAAACATTTCCGAGGGGTTCTCCAATCAATGGGCTTAATAGAAGCCGGAACATGGGGGTATTGGGACCTCCGTATAGTTCCAAGCATGACTCTATAGATGAAGAAGACACCGGAACGTTTGCCGGGTTTCCGCAATAGCGGTGAGGCCAGGCGCTGTGTGATTCTTGATGCGTAAGGTTTAAGGGTCTGCGGGAGGTATTCCAGGTCAAGTAGCTAGTTCCCGCTATGACGTACAGAAGCTGGGTAGGTGCGGGCGTGAGGGGCGGGTCCGCATGCCACGCATGGGCGCGGACCATAAACGCCAGGATGGTAGCCGCCGGCAAGGGTATGGGCCAGCGTTGGTTACGAACAGCTTGTCCGTGTCGACACACGCCCCCCCCACTCCAAGCCGGCTGACGCATAAGCACCGTGCACTCCTCATAATCAACTGATTCTGACCCATGTTCTAGCAATAATCGTCCTAGCCAGATGGCGATGGTTTTGCCCGGCTGAATTTTGGTGTCCTTCGCTAGGTCTTGTAGTTCCCCCCTTGAGTGGGAACGATACGTGGTAGTGGTCGTCTGGGTTCCCGCTTGGTCTATTACGGCCTTAGTGATGGCAATCGGGTTAGCGTGTACGGGGGGAGCAATCATATCGATGTCTAGATTCTCGTGATCCCCGAGCGGATATTTTGGGGGGCAGGGGGGGGGATTTCCGCCTCGAGGGGAGGGGCTGACGCCACAGGGAACGCCTCCCGTGGTGAGGGGGGCGGATCTTTGTTACTCATGGTCCCCGCCTCTTCTTCTCCCCACCCCTGCGCTGCCACCTCGGCACCATCTTTAGGTGCGGCCGCGGCATGGTCGGCGGCCATCTTCGTGAGCGTCTGTATTAGACTTGCTTGATTTGCAGCGTGTCTCATCAGCGTGGAAAAGGAACGAAACAAGATATTAAGCATTTTTCCTTTGTCCCACTTTTGTCCGCCCCACTTAGAAGAGTTTTTTCCCTCCTCTTCTAGGTTCTCCCTCAAGGTAGTTAATATTTCATTTTCGGCCCCTCCCGGGATGATAGCCGGACAGTGGAACTTGTCGGGGTGGGTATCACAGCCTCCTCCTGTCTTGAGGTGTTGTATACACCGGGCGAATTCTTTTTTGGGTGCACGATCGATACCCCCACCCATTGGTTTAATCCGAGTAAGCTCGACCTCCGCCACTACGTTGGGGGGCTGATACAGGACAGAGGGGCATGATAGGAGGCACCCAAGCGCAGCGGGACTGAGCCCGGACACCACCCATTCCTTGGCTGCCCCGGGCTGGTGTGTGAGGGTGTCGGTCAGCTGGCTGGACAAATAGCCCCCTAACTTTCCATTTTGTGTGACCTGGTAGTAGGCGATGTGGGCCCAGAGGCCGTCCGCATCGGTCGGTGGGGGCCGCTGATGGTTGGCCCACGGGCAATACTTTACTAAGGGGTCTGCATGTGTTTTTTCTTCTCGTCTCAGGGATCCCATCCTCGTCGCCCTGTCGCGTGCAGTGGAGTTAAACGCTCTGGGCGAGAACGAGGAGGTAATAACACAGAGGCAGAGTCCCTCGGCACTTAAAGCGAAATGCAAAAAGTTTTATTTTTGTACTCACGTTGGTAGTGAGGCTCAGTTTTCTTACAGCTGTTACAGATACTGCAGTTATTCGCTCCCCTGGGAGAGATCACTCGTTCGGGATACGGAGGGGTCGCCCTGGGTTTTGGATATCGGTGGGCGTTCGTGAGACTGGGATAGAATTGGCCAGATTCCACCCTGCTCATTTAGTCTCGGACTCCGGAGTGTTCTCTTCCGGATTCCTGGTTGTTTTATAAGACTGACACAAGTGCCAGTATCCCCGTGAGCCAATTGGCTTCTATTGTTTGAGGTGGTGCTTAACAGCTACGGTGAAAGCGTGGTTGGTTACGCATTGGCTGCAGTTGCTTATCTGGGACTGAACAGTGAGTACTTCTCAAAATGACAGCTGGTCACTCGGGAGCAAGCAAGCATTACACAACACATACCTCTAGGTAGCAGGCAGCTCATGAATGCTGTGATGGTGGGGCACACAGAAGTACGGGAGACTCCCTAGCGCACTCGGCAGCAGACCCAGAAGTGGACCAGGAGCACTTCTGGTCCACTTCTGGGTCCACCAGGTAGAGCACGCTGGGGCCCCCCTCCGGCTTGGCGACTGTTGCCTCCTGGATTTGGGGAGCACCTAGGGTCTCTTTGCAGCCGATCACCCAGCTGGGGGGTGCAGGGGGTCCACTTCCAGGCCCACTTCCGGGTTTGCTGCTGAGCACACAGCCCGCCCCCCGCCGCACTTCTGTGGGACATTCCATTCACCCCAGCATCTCAGCATTTACAAGCTATGCCTGGTACTTCAAGGTAGGTAGAAAAAACTTTTAAAGCTGTCTATGTCAGAATTGATCATTCTCTGAATCAGCATTGAATATTCAGATTCGGATTTGGCTGAACTGAATCAGGGACAGTGATCTGAATCAATGAATCGAATCACTGTCCCTGATTCAGCTTGAATCTGAATCCAAGTCTGAATTGAATAGGGCCCATTTCTTGCACCCCTACTCAGAAGTACAATAGATAGGGTCTTTGTTATTACATGGCTGCAGGAGATGTGCTGTGAGATGTTTACTTGGCCTACACTGACCTCACTAAGGTCTTTGATTCAACCAACAGAAAGGTCCTATGGAAGATCCTGATAAGATTTGGATGCTTGCCAGAATTGGTTAACATTATCGGACTTCTTCATAACATGTCAGCAACTGTCCTAAGCAACAGCTTGGAAACAGACCCCTTTACTATTAGAACTGGAGTCAAACAAGAATGTGTGATCACATTAACCCTCCTTTCCATCTATATCACAGCTATTCCACATCTCATTGCTGATAGACTTCAATCTGGAGTCAGCATCCAGTATTGCATGGATGGAAATCTCTTTAACATCAACTGGCTACATTCTAAATCAAAGATCTCCAACACACTGAAGATTGTGTCATCATGTGTGCCTACTAAATTGAAAAGCTTCAGGACACTCTAGCCTGCTTCTGTGAGGTGTACGAAATATTGAATTCACAGTCAATGTCATGAAAACCAAGATACCTTACTAACCTACTCTAAACCAACCAGCTACTCCTCTACATATTATAATTAGTGGACAATCCTTGGAGAATGTTGAACATTTTCCATACCTGGATAGCAACCTTTTCCAAAAGTAAATGTAGATAACCATATTCAATACTGGATAAAATCTGCTAGCACTGCCTTTGGATGTCTCCAAAATCATGCCTTTGATGATCATGACATCAGGACCCAAATCAAACTTCTCATCCACTAGGCTGTTGTCATTTTTACCCTGTTGTATAGGTGTGCAACTTGGAGTACATATTGGAAACACCTGAAAGCTTTGCAGCGTGACCATCAATTATGTCTTCAGAAAACCCTTCATATTAGTTGGAAGGACATAAGAATGAATGACAGCATTCTGGCCCAAGCAGATACTACCAGGATTTGACGTTATGTTTATATGGCACCAGCTCTGTTGGACAGGATGCTTGAAAACCAGGTCCCAAGACAGGCCCTATATTCCAAACTCACTGATGCTCACTGCTCTAGAGGTGGGCAAAATAGATTCAAGGATACCGTTAAGGCCAATCTGAGAAATGTGATATTAACATCAGTACCTGGGGGACTTAAGGCCTGATTCATCTCTGATCTATCTCCTCAGTCACCTGCAAATTCATTACTTACTTACCTTTTTACTGGAAGACTGTCCGTGTCATAGTGAGGGACTGCTGATGGTTACAATAATACATTTTATTTATGGGTTACCCTTAACACCATTTAAGAATCTGAACTAATTTCTAACTGACCACAAGTTTCACCAGGTGTTTATACCATAAGGCTACTATGCCAGCCCTTTACAGTCTGAAATAGTGGCTGAAGTACATGCTTAAGCTCTAAATGATTTGGGATTTGCCTATCTAACAACTCAACACAGTTTCATTAAGTGGAGGTAATTAGACTGTTGGCTTCTAATATGAAAAGCAGGGAGCTGGTGGCAGTGCATTTCTCCTGAGTTTAGAACCCAAAACTTGGAGCTAATTCAACATCTTAATTCAAAAAAGCAAATTTGTTGACCTTTAGAGTACGCTGAAAAGTGAATCTTCTTTCCATTCTGTTATTAGTCCTGGTAATCTTTATTAACTGTATATTTTATATCTATATTTATTCATAGCAGATTTATCAAAATCCATTATAACTTTAAATAAACAGGAAGAAATAATTAAGAAAATCAGTGCTCATAATTGGCTGAAATTTTCAGTCAAAGCTTTTGACTGAAATGAGTCAAGTATGTTTACCTAGTCATTAATCACAAATACGGGAGATTATCTGGAATCATGTTAACCAATCAGACTGCATTTGTAAATACTGCATTCTGAGTCACTGAGTTTACTAAAAACATTATTAATCTCTGATGAACCAATCCAGTAAACATATGCACATTTTCCTCCTGATTAGTTTTAAGTGCTGAACAATAGTCTTGCAAGGTTCTTTGGGTAGATGTGATATCTTTTATTAGAACAACTGAGTAGTCTAATACTCAGTTGGGCTAATAAAAGATATCACATCTACCCAAGGAACCTTTCCTGCCTATGTCCTTACAGCAACACGGCTACAACCAAAACCCTGGAACAATAGCTTTGTATTTTTTTTTCCTGGAGCACTAATTCCATTTCTTAGTTTTAAAAGAATATTTTTAAACAATGCATTCTGAGACATAACAGAGAGACTGCAGGGTCTTTCTGACCAAAATATTCAGAGTCCAATTCCCCAGTTCCTCTTGGCAGGGGAACTTCAACTGCCTTAAACCAGGATCCTGGGCAAAGAGCAACCACAGGACAATGGTCCTTGGAATGTATAGAATAATGCATGTTGTCAGATTCAGGCTGGGAGCAATGATAGGCTCGGCACACAAATTGTGAGAAACAGTGAATAAATGGTGTTACATCAGCTTCATGCTACGCCATCTGTGAGATCTGGGATAGTCACTTGTATGGACTAGAGCAGGGGTGGCCAACCTGTGGCATAGATGCCAAGTATGGCAAGGGCGACCTCTGTGCTGGCATGTGGCATATCAGGGAGGAAGCAGGGAGCACAGGGACAGATAGGGAGGGGCGCAGAAAACCAAGTAGCAGATCTGGCAGGGAGCACAGGGAAGGAACCAGAAAGTAAAGCAGCAGATCAGACATGGGAAAGGGATTGGAGTGGCACTTGGGGAGGGTGCAGGACTAATTCATGGCTCACCTGCCAAAAGTTTGGTCCTCGCTGGACTAGACTAGCAAGAGTCCCCTGGAGCTTATATATGTCCCAGCCAAGTCCCTTTTCTATGGCTACAGTGTCTGGTTTGGGACAAAAAAGCACAGCACAGCTATCAGCACAGCAAGGTTGTTATGGTTGTATACCTGCTGAAAAATCTTTCAAACGGGGATCGTCCTGGGTCTTCCAAACTCCTTTGCTTGCCTGGAGAGGGGCCCGACATCAGGCTACTGACATCCTGTTTCAATGAGCATAACATCATTCCTTGTCTTACAAAACATAGTGCTTCACATAGGTCAATATTTACCTCTTAGGTCAATAATTCTGGAAGCTCACTTCCAGCAAATATTTGTATTTACTTTCTTCAGTTTAACCATTAAATGCAGAAAAATTCCGCACAACACTTTTCCTCACATTTGTGTAACAAAAGCAGCTTGTATGAGAGGTGCAGCTTTAATGCATGCTTATAAAAATCTTTCATTTATTATTTATATAATTATTTGCAGAGCTCCTGTTGCCATGGCAACTTTTACACATGGGAGATAAAGCCTGACATATACAGCAGTCACGACTGCAAGCACATTCACTCACTGATAAGTCTGCCCGGACACTGCAGGGCTTGCCAAGTTTCTTTAGGATAGTTGTTGACATTAAAATAACTTCCTTTTGTTAAAGTAGAGTGATGATGGTTGTTGTTTTATACAGCTTCAGCCAATGGGCATCTTCACTTTAAATAGGCTCTCGCATTATATCCCACGCTGAGCCAGCCGGAATGTTTTGGAGTGAATGTATTCTCCATCAGAAACGCCGTTCATCAGAAATGAAATATTTCATGTCACATCTGATGAGTCTTCCAATGAAACATGGGCAGGTTTCCTGCCAGCTTGCTCACCTGGCTTCACAGCAATCTGACACAGTTCACAGCTCAGGAGTGCCCCAGAGAGAGAGCCCCAGAGACAGCTGGAGCCTGAGCTTCTGCATGGGGAACTTGGCAACCACAGACACTCGCCGTGTGGCCAGGAGCATGGGTGCCTGAGAGCCATAATTCAGACTGGGATACTAACTTTCAGGCTCTCTGCATGGAATCAAATGCCTGGAAGTCCTTGGAAAGGCTTCCAGAGTCTCCTGCTCCAGGGCAGGCTCATCCTGTGAACAATCCTATAGCCAGGGGCCCAGCACTTCCAGTCTCTTGAGCCAGCTTTCTCCTTGGGCTCCCTGACTTCCGCAGCCTGCAACTATCAGGCAGACTCCCTAAGCATAAAGACTTGAGCTAGCTTGTATGGTGATTTATTAAATCTGAAAACCAGGCAACCCAGGCAATCAGCTGATCCAGTCGCCTGGTAACCTTAGGGTCTTTGCTTACTGAGCGATCTGCATGACTGCAGACCCTGAAAGAACCTGGGATTACAGACCTGCTGGTATTGCAGATCCT